ACAGTTTGATCTTTTGAAAAGAATAATGAGCAATGAATGAATCATGATTATTTCTCCTCTCTGTACTGGTTACATATCAATATAGTAATCAGTATATTATCATTAGACTGGTCCAACACAATAACTCAAAGGCCCAGAATTTTCCATTTGCACACTGTCATCACAGTCAGGCATACTGAAATACTACTACATATAAAAACAGTGCAGAATTATATCTGGGTTATATTGTTTGTTTGTTTTTATTCAGTGGCAGACAGGCTCCCGTGAGACTTCATGCCTCTCAAACATAAAGAGCAGACACTGTTTATTTTCTATTTAGTAACTTCTATAATTATCATGTACAGAACTACTGCATATAAAATTAGCAGAGACATACTGAAATGCTGTAGGCTATATTTTATAAGCATATTTGCTGCCTATTAGTTTCCATTTGTCTGTAGATTTTTCTCACATCGAGTTTTAGTTTATGCTCTTTGGTTTAGCTTCTGTTTGACATTTTGTGTCTTGTTTAGTATTTTCGTTGGACTGGAGTTTTATTACTGTTCGACTCCTTGTGTTTAGTACCCTCTTGTATGTTATGTGATTCCCCTTTTAGTGACTTCCTGTTTTCTTCTGTTAGTTATTAGCCTCTTGTGCCTCACCGTTGGTTTGTCTTTCCTTGTTATTGTCTTAATTTGTTTCAGCTGTGCGTTGTTACCCTGCTGCTTGTACTCTTCTTGATTACTTTGTGTTTATGCGTAGCCTCAGTTTCCCTTTTTCCTTCTTCCGGGTGTCTGTCAATGTGCCATTGTGTGTTCCTGCTTAGTTACCCCATTTTGGATTTTTATATTCTCTGCATCCGACCTTATTTATCTTTATTTGTTCTTTAGCGTAAATTTTGAGTCTCACATTTAGGTGCTGATCCAGCAGTCAGTGATACCATATTTATAGCCTGAAATACATTTTCCAATAGCTTTAGAGAAAACGGCTTTTGGTCTTCATATTTGTGCATGTTACATTTTTATTATTTTTTAAAGGTAACATATTAGACTGTAGCCTAAAAGTAAAACAGTGCTGGATGAGCAACCATCATTTCAACTTCATATCTAACTAAAAATAGAAAACTAAGTGAAGAGAAAACTGGGTGAGCATTTTGCAGCTATTTAGTTTAAGTGGCAGCAGGTCAACAACATGATTGGGTATAAAGATCGGCAAAAATTTAGCAATCTGGAAAAAACACAGAACTATTTTAGAGGGATGTTTCTCTATGTACAAATTCAAAGTGAAATTTTACAGCTAAAATAATGAAAATCTGATTATCTAACATCTTCTGAGAATCTTCTGAGAATCTAGAGAAATCTCTGTGCAGGAGGCACACGGCTGAAAGTCTGCACTGGATCACTGTCATATTTGGGTCCTCGTGCAGCACTACATAAAAACAAGGATGATTCTGTCATTCTGAATGAGTGCACGGGCTCGTGAACACTTCCAGAAACGCTGCTGTCTCCTCTGGACCAGAACTAAGGCTGGGCTTCAGTGGAAAGCTGTTCTGTGGTCAGATGATTGACGTTCCCGAGCCCGTGTGGTACAGAATCAATTAGTCGTGTCATGTTATACACACGTATCTTTTCCTTTATTGGTTTTTGACCTTGTCTATTGTGTTCAGAAGTTTTTCTAGAATCTTTGAGTCGTTTAAGCATCACAGATGATAAATTCACCAATTTTATGTTGACAAGGCCTTGTCATACATTGCTGAACTCATGCCCACACAGTGTTTTTGCAGCACGGGGAAATCCTTTTAGTTCTCAGAAACTCCATCCCTCTGACACTGACAGTTAACTTCAGTTAGTAGTGAGATATTCCAGAGGATGTTTTTTGAAGTATTACACAACTTTCCCTCCCTTTTGGCGTCACAGTTCTAAATTTCTGGAAATGAACACATATTTTTCAAAACACATTGGAAATGTTTCAGCTGTGTTGTTTTTGTAGTATGACTACAATATGAATGATATGCATCTAAGTGTGTTCTTTTATTTGCATCTCAGTGTGTATTTTTCCATGTTGCCTTTATTGATTTATTTCTGTATTATTCATATTAGAACCACAGTTTTTGACATGCAGCCATCGGTGGTTGCTGGTAATTCTTTGTGCGACCTGCTGGCGTGAAAGAGCGTGCTAATCTACAAGTACTTTAACCACTTTATGTTGTGATATAACTGAAAACAATTTGAACTGTTTGAACTTGATCGTAGACTTTTTATTCCAGTCACAGTAGCAAACTAAATCATCATAACACTGACAAACACAGGTATCAATAAATGTCATCTCACTACTAGTTAAAATCTAAACCAGTACAAAAATGACAATTCCCAAGACAAATCACCATTCTGAGATGACACATTGCAAACACTAACTAGTACTGATTTGCACACTTTTCTCGTTCAACTCTCAGTCATATGCTAGCTCAGTAATCAACAGTAATCTATTAAACTTTTGAGAAACTCTTTATCAGAACATGTGTGAAGGTTTGGGGATTTTGAAGCAAGAAACTAGGCTCAGTTTAGCTGCCCTGCACTTGTTCTCTACTTAAACTAGAACCTACGCTTGCAAATTGTTACTTTCCTCTTTTTTCACCCTCACCCTCACCAACGAGCAGCTGTGGCAGGAGACACTGTACATCGGAAGTCTTTGTTCAAACTAATGATTCAGATGTAAGATCTTGCCTTAAACTTGTGTGAAATGCAACCTTTGAAACGTTTTGTGGGGCACAGAATTTGGATAATGAATGCAAATACATATTTATTACGCACAAATTGACAGGTGCATAGTGCAGGTGTGCTTTTTGAAGAGCTTATCAGAAGCGCTGCAAGCAAATGAAAAGCGGCGCACATGTCGCAGCAGGTGAATTGTTTTTTATAACAACTGCTAACCACTGCATTCCCATTTAGACCACCACACCTCAACAACATGGTAGCAAAAAAACGTGTGATTACGACCCCCCCCACACACACACACACACATGCACACACCCACTGTGTTACATCATTTCAGCCACTTTATGCTTGTTCCCATGGTACGGATGGAAATAACCTTGCTGAAGCAGAAGCTGGGTATCTCTGTGTTAAAGTGCATTCTGACATCATTTCCTCTGGCAACCAAATGAAGAAGGTAGTTCAGGGCAGGGTTTTAACACGCTCTGTATTTTGCCACTTTTGTCTACTCCAAATAAATTAATAAATGGTATAAATGCAAGGCAGACCCAACTGAGTAATGATGTCATTTCACACTAATTCTGGCATCTAAAGCAGGTGATGACACATCTGACATGTTCATTATGTCTCTTCAGAGACCGCCGAAATCTGCATAGGTAGCCACAGTCAGTGCTCAGCAAAGGCGGAAGGAGTTTCAGGTATATTACTTTGAAGTTACAAATGAAAAAAAAAACTGTCATAATAATTTGTTTTCAAAGAAAATGTAACAATTTAAAATTCAATTTCAACAAGTTTTTGTTAAAATCCTATCTTGACTGTAAATAGCAGAATAATATTTAACACGGAAGCCTGTTTTTATCTATTCGCATAAACGCTATTGATTCGATTGCAGCAGGTGTCTTGAAGAATAAAAAGCTAATTATCAATAAGTCCTTTCTCTTTTACATACAGTACCTACATAATCAGCTACTCGATAATTAAAAAAAGAAAAACAAATGTTATTATATACCAAAATTCTTGTTCATGGTCACTTTTTTCAGATATCTTCCCCTGCGTCAGGCTAAGAGGTGTATATAGGTGAGACATCACTAGAAAGACCTGAGAGAAAGAGGGGACAGTCATAACAAACGCACAGGCTTCCACACGTGTGACACAGATGAGCGGTAAAGGTATTCTCATTCCTAGTATAAAAACGGATGAGATGTGATGATCAAAATTTAACAAGAACGTAACGATCAGAGGTGACTCATTGTAGAGTCATTGTAGGTGCAAAAACCATTCACTTTCACATGTGCCTTCAGAGGTATGAAAAAAAAACCTTATAAGGCGAGATGAGTCACTCTAGTCTGTATTCTTGATAAGTAGCCAAGTGTTAGACTGGTAAACACAGAAAAATTCTTAAAGTGTGAATGACACCCCCTCCCCCCCTCCAGGGGATGGATATGTCTGATATGCATTGGGGGTAAACTGCTTATACGTCTAGTTCTGAGGAACGCTTCTCTTCTCTGCATGTTTTCAAACATTTTGTGGTGGTTTGAGTGGTTTCAACAGTTGGGGGCACAAACATGGTGCGATTATGATAAATACCTGTGGGTGATTTTGGACTCACGTTTATGGGAAAAGCTTTTGAAAGATAATGCTCACCTTGATGTCATCTGGGCTAAGGGGCAGTAAACGTGTGGCGTGTTTTTGTCAACACATTTGCAAATGTAGGATCTTATGACCTGTTTGCTCACCTTTATACAAAATAAAATCTATAGTTTTGTTGTTGTTGTTGTTGTTGTTTTGCAGATGAACTCCAGATATATTTTGAGACCCTATTTTTTTAAAAAAGGAGGAAAATTTGATAGAAAATAATACAGGCCTATGAGTAAAAGCAAAATGCGTCTTACATCACTGAAAGTTTCAGTATATGTGTACTGCAGGCTTCAGCTTTCCACGTGACATCAGTGTAATTTAAATACTGAAACCCTCATGGCTTCCAGAGTAGCAATGATGCCACAGATCTTGAACATAAACGTGTTAAAATCAAATTTATAAATATACTTGTTGTTCCTACAGTATTTAAAAGTAGAACGGGAGGCAGAGCCTTCAGTTTTCAGGCCCCTCTTCTGTGGAACCAGCTTCCAGTATGGATTCAGGAGACAGACACTATCTCTACTTTCAAGATTAGGCTTAAAATTTTCCTTTTGCTAAAGCATATAGTTTGGGCTGGACCAGGTGACCCTTAGTTATGCTGCAGTAGGTCTAAGTTGCCGGGGAATTCCCATGATGCACTGAGTGTTTCTTTTTCACTCACCATGTGTTTATACAGCTCTCTGCATTTATTCTTTATTTAATATTAATCTCTGGCTCCCCTATCTTCCTCCCTTCCCTCCCAACCGGTCTCAGCAGATGGCCGTCCCTCCCTGAGCCTGGTTATGCCCAGAGGTTTTTCCTGTTAAAAAGTGCTTCTATATATAGGGGTTTGTCTTTTTGTTGGGGCTTTCTCTGTCTTACTGTAGGGTCTTCGCCTTACAATATAAAGCAACTTGAGACAGCTGTTCTTCTGATTTGGTACTATAGAAATAAATAAAGTAACATTGAAATTTAATGTTAAAATATTCCTGGATGAGGAAGCAATTTAACTAAATAACTCAAACAAACTTTTAATGCACGGGGATTTTAATGGGGCAGTGGTTCACACTGTTGCCTCACACGGTCCTGTGTGGAGTTTCAGTGTTCTCACCCGTGCCTACATGGGTACTCTCCAAACATTGCGGCTTCCTCCCACAGTCCAAAAAACATGCACAGGCTAGGCTAACCTGCGATTCTAAATTGGCTGCAGATGTGAATATGAGACTGTCTCTTTCTCAACCCTCCAACAGATTAGCTTTCTATTCAGGGTGTACCATGCCTCTCAGCCCCTGATCCCTCCACTCCATGACCCTGAACTGGATAAGGAGAAGAAAATGGATGGGACTCTTAATGAGTATGAAGCTGTATACTGAGTGTTAAAATGCTGAGAACTTTAAGTGTCATTTATATGACCAGTTATCAGTCAGATAACTGGTCATATCAGTACAAAATTAATTCATTTACCCAGTGAACACTAACAGGGCTTGATTTTGTTTTATATTAAACTCACTGCCATGGATTAAGTCATCATACCCACACGATTAAGGAGTAACAATCTTGAAAGCCCACAACAGACACATCTGAAAGTGTGAATGCAGAGTTGACTTTATCTGCTCACAAAAATGAATTTATTTTTTGTAACTTTTGACGAATGCATAGAAAATGAACAGTAATAACCGTCCCCAGACACTATATCATGCTTACTCATTCATCAAGTCCGGACAAGGATGCTTTCTGCTGAGCTCTATATCTTTACTTGTGGTGCTGATAGCACATCAATCCTTCTGATGCAACTTTCTTTTGAAATGAAAATATGAGCACTTCCTGGGGAAAGAGAAGCAAATAAAAGCACAAAATCTTCTAAACACAATTTCCATGGGGGTTTGGGTCACAGGTCTATCGATACGCTCCTGAGACCACCACCATACAGACTGATTCGCTGGCCAGTTGCTATTAAAATGGAACAGGGGACAAGACATGATTGTAGCAGATAATATCACATGCTTTATAAACAGTGGACTTCATTATTTATAAAACAGTAAAGTACAAAACAGTATAGCACAATTTCCATACACAGTGGTTTCCATATTTACAGGAGGGATCGGGGGGAGGAAAAGAAAATTACAACTGAAACCAAAGTGTTTACATATTGAAAAATACAAACAGGAAGGCTAACTGATTTGAGATCGGTCCACGGATGTATTCAAAGTTTAGTATTAATAACTTTGTTTGTAAAATTAGTTGTGCGGTGTCTATGTTGTTGAAACACGGGACTCAGTTTTGTGTGTTTGAAGAGGCAGGGTATACTGTTGAGCAACAATAAATTCATTTTTACTTCCAGCGCTGATTTAGGTCGACCATTGCTGAATTCCACATTTGCCTTTTGAGAAATTTTAAAAAATGACTTAATATTAAGTAAAACCCTGCTTGCACTATAGAAATAGTGAAAAGTACGATACTCGTCTTAGTCAACAGAGGGCAGCAGAACAACACTGTTAGAAATCAGCAGTCAAAGCCAAACAGAAATAAATGGTTTGTGATGATGACATTGGGTCCCAGCCCTAAACCCACAGATCATGAGATAGAGCTTGAGGGCAGAACGGCATGCGGGTGACCTCTGTTATCAGCATCTAGGCATCAATGTTAGTCACAGTTATCATGCAGCTTTTTGTTGTTGATTGTATCATTAAGCTTTCCTCAAATGACTTTGGCTGGTGTCATTTAGAGTTTTGCAAAGATTTTTTTTAAAAACATTCACACCGAATGCCTCAAACGCAATTAGAGTTTCTTCAGCCACAGGTCAGAAAAGCCTTGGTGTTATTTGTACAGCTACAAATAGGTAAACGAAGTGAAACTTGATGCAAATGCCCTTCATGATTTGCTGAGTGAGCGAGCTCAGGGAGTGGGTTGTGTTTCAGTCGAAACTAAATAAAAATAAAAACGCTTCTAACTGAACTGTTATGAGTCATTCCGAATAGGACTTTAACACTTTAATAACAGCATAACATTAAAACCTTATTAATCACTCAACAGTACTATAAACGACCACAAGAACTTCAAGGTCAGTAATTACAAAATATATAATACATCTTATGCACCCCTATGAGTGTTTCCTTTACAAATAATACAAGTTATTCAAAGTAAGAAGCCAACTCTGTACATGCATTTCATTTTATACACATGTTTGCAGATTAGGAGGAAGCTGTAGTTCTTTACTGAACAACAATGGGAAATCTGACTAGCAAACGTGTATTGGCATGTGCTGATTTGTCACCACATTACTGTGCACCAGGTCCCACTGTAGCTAAAAATCTGTAGATTGTTATTTTAAACAACTTCCAGCCGTAACTATTGATGTGAAACGTCTTTTTGCCGTCCCTTTGGACTGACAGTGATATTACTTGGTGCTTTCCGGTCGAATTGGCAGTGTTGCAGAGTGTATTCTAAGTGTAATATATTCTGTACGAACCCACCATCAGCAAAATGTCTTCAAGCAGAGCGAATATATTGTTGCGCTCAACTTATGACTGTGAATAAGTCTAAATATGCAGTATATAGCTGGAACTACTAAAATACATATTGGCATGTCCTTGGCATTTATTGAGCACCACCCTAATATTATGTATTCACCGGTTTGTAGACAGAGCAGACGGAGGAGAAGGGTGTATTCTTTTTGAGATAAACGGGGGAGAATTCCTCGAACTGAGCTGGTCGGAGCATGAAGATAGTGTAGATGGGACTTTGCCGATTGGTCTTTTTAACAGTCTGTTCAAGAGTTTAAAACATATTCGATGATAATATAGCTTTTCTCTGCACAATAATGTGAATACACATGAAAGAGTTATAGAAATATATCAAGGTCTCGCAAAGATTTGACGTTGATGCTCTTCAAGCACAGCAGTCCACTTTGATGTGTGCTTATAATCAGCACTGAGGAGAGAACACTAAAGCATATCAAATCATTTTCATGTTGAACTTCCGTGCTCCACCTTGTCCTCCACTGGCTGCAGGCCCGTCCACTTTTCTAAAAGAATATTCTACAGAGAAGTTGTTTTTGTGCTGCCCTCGCCCTCGACTCCACACAAACAGCAGAATGAAACAGAAAAGGACTACCCCCAGAAACATGATACAGCCCATGGCTGTAGATATGAGGATCGTCTTGAGGTCCAGAGTAAACTTCAAGAAGACTCTGGTATCATTCAGATTTGTGTCATTAAGATCCCCAGCATAGTAGGTGCGGTTGGCCATAAGGGCTGCATCCAGCGGCAGCCCACTCACTGTAAGTGTGGCAAAATATGTGTCATTTCCACCGGCATTGCTGGCTATGCAAATGTACGTCCCACTGTCTGTGACCTGGGCATAGCGGATTTCTAGCGTGCCTTCTGGTAACACGGTAAGGCGGCCGCTGCTCTTTGTGGTGATGCGGCGGCGCTGAGGAGAAATCCAGAATATCACCGGTGTGGGTTCACCTTCTGCTCTGCAAATAAATGACACTACCTGTCCCTCGCGGGCAGATATCTGCTGCAGTTTCCGGTTGCGGATTTTGGGCTTTTGACAAGTAAAGTGGTCAAAGAGAGCTGAATCAGAGAAAGCATTGAGAGCACGTCCTTGCACTTCAACAGGTGTCATACACACCGGGGAGGCACCATCAAAGTTCAGGGTCTTCCTGCGCTGAAGGATCCAGAGCAAGCGGCAGTCGCAGGCCAGAGGGTTTCCATCCAAACGCAGCGTCTCCAGAGTGTTGACAGACTGAAAGGCTCCCTCCTCCAGGGTCACCAGGCTGTTAGAGGAAAGGTTAAGAAGGCGGATTTGCCTTAGACCACCGAGCGCATAGGGCTGCACTACTGCCAGGTTGGTTTTGACTAGATGCAGCTCCTTCAGCCTTACGAGATCCCGCAATGCCCAGGACTCCAACACAGTGATGGGGTTGTAAGATAGGTTGAGGCTGGTGAGGTGAGCCAAACTACGCAGGGCAGAGGTGGGCACAGAGGTGATGTTGGTGTGTGTGATAGACAGCCAGGACAAGTTGAGACCCTGCAGGCTGTGAGGAGAGATGTACTCCAAAAAGGGCCAGTGATCGATCTCCAGGCCCCTCAGGTTTCCCAGCTTCCGGAAGTTTTGGTCCTCTAAGGCAGAGATACTGAGGTAGCGGAGCCGCAGAGTCACCAAGTTATGCAGGTAAGACAAAGACTGACTGGACACCGAAGTCAGGTTACACCTCTCAATTGTCAGCTCCTTCAGTCCCACCAAACCCAGAAAGGCCTTGTTAGAGATATAAACTAAATCATTGTCGCCGACCTCCAAGTTCTTTAAACTTCTCAAGTCTTGGAAAGTAAAGTCCAAAAGAATTACAATCTTATTCCCACTAAGGTCCAATGAAGTTAGGTTGGAGAGACGTGAGAAAGCTCCCATAGGGACCAGCTTCAGTTGGTTACCCCTCAGTGAAAGCGACTTAAGGTTCTGAAGGCTAGAAAAAGCATTTGGTTCCAGGACACTGATTATGTTCTCACTCAGGTCTAGCTTTTCGAGACGTGAATATGGAAGCAGGTCTCCGTGTTCTACCCAACGCAGTTTATTCCCACTCAAGTCCAGGATCTTGGTGTCCAGTGGGATTCCATCGGGCAGTGCAGACAAGCGTTTCCCATAACAAGACACAGTCTTGAGCTTAGCAATGCACTCACAGCGCTGGGGACATCCTTGGCTTTGGGCAGGTGACACTGTGATCATTAGTAACAAGAAAAGGAAAGGCAGCAGCCAGCCTACATCCTGACCCAGGCTCGCCCTCGTGGCCATCCTTTCTTCCTCTTCCTTTGTTTCCTGTCTGGGGTCGAATCACTGGGCCAGACACCTGCAAAACGAGAAGAAGGGATAGAAAGAGTTAGACAGAAAAAAAGCCAATAAGGCAAGAACAGAAAGAGAGGGGAGACAAAAAGACAGATAGTGAGAGAAATTCATTAGCGTCAGCTCTCTTTAAACAGCAGCAATCAAACACTCTAAATGAGCGGAATTACAATTACAAACTCTAATTGACCCGACACAGCAGTGAAATTAAAGCCAGGGCGCCAAGATAATCCTCAAAGGACTGATTCGGCATTGAGTTGAAACAGTTTGGCTTACAATGGCCGACTGTGCATTGTAAGCTTACTGGTTTTATAATCACTTGCCGTGGCACAAAACCTCTAATAGCCATGACTCAATTTGATATATGATGGTTAGGGTATATTGCTCCCCAGCCTGTCTGTATGAAACTCATGCATTGTAAATGAAAACGGGGAAATGGAGAACCTATTGTATTAAAAGCACCCCGTGTGAGAAATCTTAAAATGCATGAAAAGCTAAAGTCTTTAACAGCAAATACCTGAAATGGTGCACATAAAGCGTATGTTGTGAAACAGAACACTAACAGCTATACTTAACACTTTGTAGAAGAAAACACAAGCAAGTGAACAGAGTGACTAAAACATCAAAGCGACACTGAACAATCAATAGACATAAAGCACAGTACATCCACCCCAGAGTCTTTGAGTACAAGCCCGACACTGTCTCGCACTGCAGAAGAAGGCCACGACTGGGTGCTTCAGTATAACTCCCATCACATCATCTGCACGAGTCTCTGAGGCATGAGGCTTATCATGAGAGGAGCTTGTCTAGGCTGATCTGCTAGTGTTTTCATATGACACACACACATGCACGTGCACAATCCCTCTCTCCCACCTAACGTCTTTATCTGCTGATGCTTTGACAGCAGATTGGCAATCCTTTATAAACCCATTGTGAAAGACTAACAAGTAGGATGGAAAGTAACTCCATATTTCACCTTGTTTTAGTACCTGATTGTGACGCTAACTGTGTGTTAAGAGACGATCAAAAGCCACCTTTAGTTTGCCACGCTATCAATTGCATATTTAAACAATACCTATTATTTATACCTATTTCCTCTTGGAAAATTTACAATGCATCTTAGCTGACAGATGATTATTCCCAATACCCCACCTGCCACTAAATACAGTTATGCACCTGAAAATGTGTATAGAAAGCTCTGATAAGAGACAGGGCTAAATGAGCACATTGTTTTTAAAATTGACTTAATGACACTGATTTTTCGAGAGCCACCATCAAAGACGCTGTGACAGAAAGCGATATACCAAACATCCCACACACTCTCACCCACACGCAACAGCCTGACACATAGCCTTTTGCAGTCGACCCAGAAATTTTGTGTTATTCACTGCGATCTAACAAGGCTCAGTAGACACTGGAGCAAGAACTCGCGCTGCACCCATGGGTAGTGTTTAGATTGTGGCTCAGACTTTGTGCATGGAAAACAAATCGCAGCAGATGGTTTGGTAGCAAGAAAATGGCAAAGAATTAAGAGATTTAATCGCCTGGCAAAGCAGATGTTCCCAAGGCACAGACATAAACAATGCCGTTTTAAAATAGAGCACCGCTAACGTAATGCAAATCATCTTACTTCATTTGATGGTCCAACATTCGACTCTGATCTTTACAAAACTTAAGAGAATATGACGTTTTAAGTTGGAAAGCACTCACTGAAGGATACTTCTATTTCCTATTTCATTCTTTCCATTGCTGATGAGAAGGGGACTGGTTTTTTGGGGAAAAAATATACATCATATAGACCTCTAAATTGAATTGCTGAACTTGTCTGCATGATTTCAAGGACTTTGTGTCATGCCAAGCATGTCTTTAGTTGGTCTGACATGTTTTGACTGTGTGACCCAGGGTCATGCTGGTAAAATAGTAAAAACTCACCTCATCTGCACAAGTAAAAATATTTCTTTCAGTATTCACCACCAGAGTATTAGCCACAAACTTCCTCCCTAGAGTCCTACTGTCCTCAGTCCTCTGCTTTTAAAATGTCTCCAGTTTCTCTGTCAGTCACATAGCCATGCTTTACGAACCCATATCTGGTAGCAGACATTCACTAATAAGCCCAGAGGCCCCTGGCCAGAGAATGCACCATAAGTCAACAGCAGGTGGATAGAGAAGTGTGCACTCTACTTTGTGTGTGTTTGTGTGTATATATATATATATATATATATATATACATATATATATGTTGATATTTGCAATAATGTCTCTGTCTTTTCTTACAATATCAAAATTTGCAGTATTGCACAGCACTAGTACCCAGACCTATAGGAGTGCCAGTCAGACCAGCTAGCTTAGGGGCAGAGAGCATGGCCTTTACACTGTGGCTGTATTAGTATGGTTTTCTGCTGGGTGATAATAAATGCCTGTCAGCTGCTAAGGAGCTCTGCTTTCTATTTTTAAAAACCTTCCGTATAATGAGGATGGTGCAATGGTTAGCTTTGTGGCTAAAGTGAAATTTTGTCATGGTTGTTCAGTGGTGGAGATCATTATTAACCAATGAGGTAAAGCTACTACACTCACATGTAAATGAACAGCAGGAAACACACAAGTGTTTGCTTTTATTAACACAAACTTACTCTCACAGGCTATTTTTTTCTATAGGTAATATTATAATTTAAAAGATTCTATTTTAATAGCAGTAATTGTGTAATGCCACGAGTTTTAAATATAAAGTCACCGAGCACAGTCAGTGTCACATCTCTCTGATTATGCACTATTATGTTCGCCGCTGACCTTCGGCTATTTCAATGAGCTACAGTGAAGCTGCTGCTCAGGCTAAAGAGTGGCTTCTCTTGACAAAGCTGTGACTGACAGCAACTCTTCCTCGTTACTCATAACTCACTTCACCCTGAATTTTTAAAAAGAGTAACATTTTGTGGTTTCTCACCAGCCAAGTTGTAAAACTGATCACTATTGTACTGGCGTGAGTCATTAATAGCGACACTAGTGAAACAGAAACTTTAAAGAGGACGGAGGACTTCCAAAAGCGGACGCCAAAGGAAGAGAAAAAAAAAAACTTGTGAACAGCGGTGCTAACGTGATCGTGTCCCAGTTTTAACTATTTTAGAGTCAGTAAAGTAACTGAAGGGTTTAAAATACCCGGTCCATGGGATACAGGGGCTGTCAGTGAGCTGCTCAGTAAAGTTCAGTTATGTAAACACTCATCTGTGAAGTCAGAGGATGTTCAACAAGCTGAGATACATCAGCTACGCCTCGCAGACAGAATCAATATGCAGCTCTGATATGAACCGCAAAGCTTCCAAAGGACAATACTGTAGGTGTTTAATGTTGCCGTGGCAACGGCTGCACCATCTCCCCCCACCCATCCTTGAAACGCTGTCCTTCCCAGTCTCCTGTTTTTCATATCAAGCTCAAATGCACCTGTCCACCAGATAGCTTCAGTAAGTTTCCCGCCCCTAGCGGCTGTTCCTGTTTACAGAGACACTGCTCATTAGCTCTTTGATAAATGTTGCTAATTATTAACAAGTATTTTAAGCTCAATTATACTGTGCTGTTGCTGATGTGTAGGACATCCTTTCTGCTTCATACCTGTAGAATTTTCTGCCCCCCCCCTTCCCTTTCCTGCTTGGTGTAGGTGCATTTAGGTCCCATTTCCTGTTACTTACCACCATCACAGCTGCCTGTCATTTCACACATTGCTTGTGCAATATGTGCACACATTCATAGCACTGACAAGTGGTCAGTTGTCTTTTGTTTTACTATTTTTGTTGCCAGGCAACATTTAGCACATGCTATTAGAAAAAAAGCTTCACTGCCTGAAGTCATTTTCTACTCCAGAGTTGACTCAGTGTTTAAATGCATGGGGGATGGACTCATTTTATTTTATTTTTTTCCTGAGAACGCTGCACTGTTAGCTGCAGCAGCTTTATATTTCTGGACATCTAAGCTTACAAAAGCGTGCAATTTGTATTAGAATTTGCACATGATGGCTAAATCTTTTGTATTCATGCATTTCTTTTCTACTTTGATACGTCAAACTATGGATAATTCAAGAGGCAAACACAGAGTGTTCCTCGACCTGGATCTGAATTTAACTAATACTTGAATATTTTTAAAGGAATGTGGGAAACTGTAGGAATGATCTGTTAATTGTGACTAAAAATTACCTGAAAAATACCAGCAGTTTGCTTATGCAAGATCAACACACGTGTCAGTGTCCCTGTGGAGATGAAAAGCATGAGTACACAGTCAAACTGCTGCCATGAAAGCGGAATATACAGAAGGCAAGTAAAAATCAGACGATGGCTTAATCCTGTGCTGCTCTGCACTGTGTTGTTCAACTTAATTTAGCCCGTACTATCGAAATAACGAGGGGCTCCAAGCTCTGAATAAAAAATAGTTCTAGAAACTAGCTATAATTTCTGATGTTTAAGAGCACCAAAGGTACATGTAATATTAAACTTTCTGGGGGAACTCAGGGCACCCTAATGCACACATGAATTAACCACAGCCACGTAAGAGCCACGTTACAATATTCAGGACATGTCTGTCTAATGGGATGGAATCAGCTTTAAGCAGACTTTAGTCAGGAGCTGACAAAAATGAATGTGGTGTTATTAAAATTTCATTTCACCTTCCTAAGACCCCTAAGTTCTCAGGGTGAATCATTCCCACATTTAATTAATTTTTATACTGAACTCAAATTTAATTAGTATTAAACTAATTAAACGTTTCAAATTTGACTGTGCGGTATCCAGCTGTCTGACATCCTGATGGTGTATGTCATCTTTTCGGGTGCATGTTTTACAACATTTTGAACAAATATTAATGATTATTAAGACTTATTAAGACATCACCACAGGATGGTGTTTAAGAACTTTTTGATTTTGATCCAGATATGTGGATCACAGGATGTGACCCTCAGCAGGCTCACTTCTAGTATGTGTTTAGTGCAAATTACCAAATATCAGGATGATAATAAGCGTGTTGTTT